TATATATATATATATATATAAAACAATAAGTTTTTCTATAGTGCAAATTATAATTAATTAATTAATTATTAATATATATATATTTGTAAATTGTCAAAGGTTATGGAAATTGATATCTTTAGTTTTGATTATTGTATCAGCTAGACACTATATATTCAAAAATACATTTAAATTGTAATATGAACATGGACTGAACTAAATACTAAAAAGTAGTCTTGCTCTATAATAATATGCTGCTAAATATATTTTACAATATCCTCACTCCATCACAATTAAGATGCATAAAACCATTTTAAACTGGATATGAACAATTGCTTCAATTATATACCGTAGTTCCTCGGGTACAAGCCTGCCTCGGGTATAATCCCACCCTCAACATTATGCTCAATTTCTCGTACCAGCATTTCCTCCGGCAAAAGCACATGGTATGATTAGCCAACTTTAACAAATACTTTCGAAATAAATCAAATTTTGGCTTTGTATAGGCATGCTTTCCTTTTGATTAAAAAGTGGATTCCCCAGGTATAAGCCCCACCCCAAAAAACAATCTGCAAGTCAAATTTTATCTATAGTTGAACAATTGTTCAATGCCATTTTGGAATCAACTTACTGTAGGAAAGTTCAACTGTATACAAGAGGAATAAGGTACTCTTTCTGAATAACCTTCAATAAAAAAATTCTTGCTCTAATATAATGGAATATTTTAACAATATCCCCAATACCATCAAGATTAAAGAGACTGTCCCTAAGGTAATCACGTTAATTCAAGGAGCTATTTATAGATATATGTTAAGTAGATTCATGCATTAATCAAGCCCCTCATCTGCAAGTAGCTACTGTAAATTGGTAGTCAATATTTTTTATTGCTCATAAAAAGTATATTTTTGGATGCCCCATGCATTTTTGTAGGATAATTGAGAGTAAGCTCTGATGCACTGAGGCATCAAAGTGCTAGTAAATGCAACAATGGTGTTGGCTCCTCTGCTTTTTATGGTTAGTTTCAAGGAAATTTGTTCAGGTTTCTATATTCTCTGCTGTTTATTTTCTCAAGTGCCTTGAGATTTTAAAAAATAGTTATGAGCACTATACTAATACATTGTAAATAGAAATCTCCAAAAATAAGATATGTATACAATACTTATAAATTTAAAGCATTTAAAAATTCTATTACTACAATGTTTACATTCACCAACAAATTTTTATTTTTATTTTCTCCTCCATCTGGATGTTTTTGGCAAAACTATTTGTTAAATAAGAAAACAAATTTTTTTTTCCACCCTTCTCTGATGATCTTTAAAAAAATAATTTCGAAAAATAAGGTATTAAAAAAATCTCACCTAAAGAGAAATCTGCAAGGAGCCTATAAATGTATTTAATAGGGCATTTCTCTATTGTTACACTAGTCTTAGCCCAATTCTTAATTCTGATTGGATGTTATCGTACGTATGGATTGGATTTAAGACAAAAACATCCAATCAGAATTTAAGAAATTTGTTTTCAAACTGGTGTAACAATAGCTACAGTAAATTTGATATATGATAGTGGGTGCTATATAACTGCTCATTAAAATATCATACTGTACAGTAATGTTATTTAATCATTTAGTGTGTTTGTGTGAAAGCATTTTATGTGTAAGCCTACTATACCATAATATTACACAACATAAATTATTGAATAGACATCTGAGAATAAATAAATAAGAATTTAAAGTAAAGCAAAGTGTTTTTTAAGTTGTTTCAAAAGATCTTTTGAGTCGCAGTGGTCGCTGTAAGCAGTAACAGCACGTTGAGCTGATGTATAACTACTTTGCAAATCACCAACCTACAAAAAAAGAAAGAAATTCAACGCTTAATGGTTTATAAAGACATTATTTAAGAACCCTAAGTACTCATACTTTGATATGTATAATAAATCTATTCTCTACAACAAAATCAGTGGCAGATCCAGGAATTCGAAATAGAGGAGGCCATCGAGGTCCACCATGGCTGAGGAAAGAAAATTTATGATTTATGGCACCTCCAAATGGCCAGAAATGGCACTCTCTGACTTAAATTTGATTATAATTTTATTTATTTATTTATTTTTTTTAATTTGAGAGGGAGGGGGGGCAAGCCGGCCTGGGACCCAACAAACCCTTGAATTCACCACTGGAAATAATATCCATGTATTGTGTCCATGAAAATTAAGTAGGATTTCTTGATATTTATTAAACATTTCTCAGAAATACAAGCTACCAAAAAATTGATAAAATGAATACAAACGCATTAAATCAAAAAGAAAATCCCTAAAACACAACAATATAGTGATACATTGTGTACAGATCTAAGCTGCAATGAAATCTGATAGATAATATAGTCATATTTGTCTTTTAACTTATTTAATACCTGATCAGAAAGAGATGCAAAGTTGAAATGTGGCTCAAACATGTGTGGAGATAAGGACTGAGCCGACTGGAAAAATGCACGTGCCTGCAATGATAAAAAATATAAGTTTAAATCTAATGAATTATCTTAATGAATAGGTGTCAGGCGATGTCCTGAGTGGAAGGTGCATGGCTTGGAGGAGGGGTAACGCTGGATTTTGATGTGGGATAATCCGGGCTTCGTGGGATTATCAGGGGCCGACAGGGGTCCCAATTTGTCAAAGTCAAATTATTGGAGAATTTGTCGTGCAGGAGAGGCAGAGGTTTGCAATGCGTGTACTAGCTAAAACGCATGTACAAAAAAAAGAAAAAAGAAAATCAAAGACTGAAGAAAGGTCAAGCAGATGTCATGGGTCCCAAGATTGAAGAAATCCCTTTTTATGAGATCTGATTAAATGAGCCTCCATAACATATTTAAGTTTATTTTTCTGCGCATGGTGATACCAATCGGCGCTGACTTCCGTGGGACAATTGATAATAAAGTAGTAAAAACATGCAAATGTTAAGTATTTGCCGGGAGATGGGTTATTTTCCGTGAGATTCGTGCTTGCTTGTGAGAGCGCGGAGGCACCCAGATTTTCGGGAGACTCCCACAAGGCTGTTAGTACATCAGGTGTAACAAGGATTGGTGAGAAAATCAACATCTTGGGAGGGTTGATCAGAGGTAAAGATCACATTATCAAGAGCTTGGGAGGGTAATATGGGACTCCTGAAAGGGTGTTTAGGATGGGGTCTAAGTTGGGCTAGGTGAAAGGAAGGGGATGGTACAGCACACCTCCATGCACATGAGTTACCCACACACAAATACCACTGAACATATTCATCAGCAAAAAGCACAGCAGTAAACAGAACATCAAGCCTAGTCTTACTTAGGCTCAGTGCCTCTTGCATACCTGTTCCATTCGCCCTTTACGTAGCTCCAAAACACCTAGGTTGTTGTAGGCCTCAGCGTGGTCATTATTTGATGAAACTGCTAATCGATAACACTGGTAGCCTAGATTAGTGTCCCCTATACCCTGCAACAAAAAGAACCCAAACTTCAGAAATATTCTTAAAGAAAGAAACAACAAATTTTTTAATCAATTGAAAGACTAACTTTGCACTGAAGAAGCTTTATCCAGGGACCTCAAGCTTTTTTTTCAAATTTATTATTTAAAAAAATGTTGATCTATTGAACGAAAACAACTTGCTATTATAAAACAAACATATAATATTGCAATTTATAACACACATAAATAGATCCCAGTCATTTGATTGGTTGATTTCGTACCATGTGACATTAGTTATTTTGCCCATTTCATCGCTCATCGTTGAAATTTTGTTCCACCGTGCATTTTTTTTTATATGAATAAACATGAGTTTTACTTACCAAAGCTACATGCCCAATATTATACCACACATCAGCTACTGAATTATCGTCAGGAGCCAGTGATATTGCACGTTCAAAGCAGCTTAACGTCATATCGTACTGCTGCGCATAAAAGCAACACAGTCCAATATTGTTGAACAATTCCGAATTGTAAACACCCATTTGTAACAATCGCCTAGATCAGAAAAGAAGGCAGCATGAACCTGGTTCATACAAATCTATTAAGTTCTCATATTGACAATTGGCAGTTTTTGATTGCACGATGACGGTAGGACGTAGAACGTAATGATGCCACTAAAAGTCATCTGCGCATGCGAGAATGTTAAGTTTTCCTGGTCGCGTGGATTCCAGGATGCCATTTGGCCAAACCTACGTATGCAGAGAACGTAGGACATGTGGTAGGACGGTCACGCATACGTGATTCCGTATGATCGTCGCGTAACCATGCAAATCGAAAGCTCATTAACTGACAAAGGGAGAGCTAGTGCAGCTGTCAGAGAGATGGATTGAGTATGACACCTGCAAATGATGTACCTGCTTGTATCCTTGTGAAAGATATTTTAATTTAATATTCTAATTACCTTGTCCTTTGGATGGAATGTTAAGACATTGGTCCTGTGTGCATAATAGTACACACAACTGAAAAAGGATTACCTCCCTGTGTAATTACTGTAGACTTTCATTCCCTGACTGTAGACTTTCAAATACTGACTGTAGACTTTCATTCTCTGACTGTAGACTTTCAAATACTGACTATACATGTTGAATACTATATATGTTTTGAATACCTGTAAAATCTAAGAGCAATCTCAGGTTGATCCGAGTAGAAATGATGATTAGCAATGCAAGCGATGGCCTCAACATGTGTGTTGTCATACTTGAGCACATCTTTATAATACTTCACTGCATTTATCATGTCCATTAATCCCTATAAAACATGGGAATTGAACAAATAAATAAAAAAATGAATAAGTGAACATTGTGGTTAAGTAAAGGATTCAATAGTTTACATCAGAAAGTCACTGAAAATACAACTGCGAATGTGTTGATGTACAGTAATTTAGTGTTTAGGGATTATATACCTGCTAACTCTCACGCATAATGCGAGAGTATCACGCATTAACATTCACTACTTACTTCTCACGCCTACGAGTATTATCTCGCGCATCATAAAAATTTAAAAAAAAAGATAAAATGTATAAGCTGATTATACCCTAAAATTCATAAAAATGATGTGAATTATTCATTAAAATGTGAATACAGGTCATAATTTATTTCAACGAAGCTTTACCGACTGACGACTGTAATCAGTAGCAGTTCGATCACTACAAATAAAAAATTACATAGAGGGCGCTCAATTTCATGGTTTTTTTACATAGAGGGTGCTATATACTTTTTTTTATCTCATGCATTGGAACTGGCAGGTTTTATCTGCAAATGGTGCTGTAAAGGAAGTTAGATAATAAATTGATGTTTAAATGCATTATTCAATGATGTGGCAATGATAATAATTTATTGAAGCTGGACTTTTGTAACAGTGGCACCTCATCACAGCTCTGAGGTGCGTTCAATACAAAACAATTACCAACATTGTGTAAATGAGGTTACATGCCGTAGTAAAGATGATCACAGATGGACAGCCCATTTGGCATAGAAGGATGAATTATGATTGTGAGCCAAGAAAAAAAAAATACCCACTTCAGTGGCACAAGTGGGGTTGTAGCTTCATGGTTAAGATGCTTGCTTTCCAGTCCCAGGGTCGTAGTGATGATGTGCCTATATATGGTCATGATGTGATATAATCATCACCATATTTAGGCATGTTACATGTTTTGTCAAAAATAAAATTTGATAGTCTGGACAGGGCTGTAGACTTAAGGACAGCTGTGCTTTGACCATGGTAGAGTTACCCTTCATCATGGTTAAAATGAATCTAATGTGAACATGACTTTAGATTATAGTGCAACACTCCATCCTCTAATTAGCAAGCCATGTAAAAGAAATCAAATATAAAAATATGCCGAATTACCTCATAGATTCTGGCAATACAAGTGAGCATGGTTGTTTCACCTGGGAATTTCTCTAAGCCCTGTTTGCATATCTCAATGGCTGTCAGGGGTTGGTCAAGCCTTACGTACACCTTGCACAGGTACAGGTACGTGTCAACCATCTCTTGTTGCTTTAAGGCAGACTTAAATTGCTGCTCAGCCTCACGGTACATTCCAAGTCTACATAAAACAACAATGGTGATTGGCTAAAAGAAAGTTTATATATTCTTATTATCTCAACAGTTTATGACTTAATATTTTATTACTTGTTATTATTATCATTATCATATAATCAATATCAGTACCATCCTGATCATACTCATATTTAATCAAACTTAAACTGACGTTTTTAAATTTATTTTATTTTAGTTTTATTATATATTTATAAACAGAAGTTCTGCTTTTTTGGTTACGCCACTAGTTAATTAAATTGCAAGTGAAATAAATAAATAAATTGAATTGTACACAGTATAGGTAATGGAAGTCGGTCACAACAAGAACAGGACTAACTCAGCCAGCTATTTTATAGTGGTATCTGTTATTATTTAAGGTGCATAGACAACAGAGCATTTTGTTTAAATCAATGGAATGTGAAATACCTGTAGTAGCACTTGCCAAGTTGTACTTTCCAATACCAATCCTTAAACTGACATGCTTCGGTAGCAAGCGCTGCCAACTCCAATGCATTCCTCACATCATTCTCATGGTGGAAAATGTACTCAAACAAGGCCTTGAAAAAGAAAGACATTTCTCGCTAATTATTTTTATAAAAATGTAGGTGATTACTAGGGATCCCACTACCTGGAGAAAATCAACTTTCTCAACAGCTAACTTTATATGTAATTGTACTGTAATGTAGTTAGATTTATATAGCCCTTTATACCAAAGTCGCAAAGCCTTCGAGGTGTTGGGTTTGGATTTCAAATTGGATTGGACTTATTCGGTGTAAACACCAAGGATAGCCCACAAAAGTCTAGAAGAAGACATTTCCGGTGGGGGTGTTTCTGGTGGTGATTGGGAAGTACATTGGTAGAGTAGAGTAGAGTGTTTTTTAATATGCACATGAGCCACCTGGAAGACGGCGCGCAATAACTTGTATTTCAGCCCTCCAGCTGAAACGCAAGGAGAGGCAGTGATAGGAATTGAACCGGAGACCAAGTGATCTCCACAGTTCAGCACAGGCACACGGTGGCTACCACCAGATTAGCCGACTGAGCTAAACTGCTCTCTAGCTCATACAGTAACTTCCTTCTCTTCTAAGGGTCTCTCCGTGTCTGAGCTACCATTTAAACCAGTATGGCTACTCTCATCTGCACACTGGTGATACCATCCTCAGTTGACTTCTGGGAGACAGTTGATAATAGAAACCATGTATTATAATGAATTTGTGGAAGATGGGCTAGTTTCTGGGACATTTTTTTTCTTATTTTCTTTGGGGTGCGTGGGAAGCTGTCTGAATTTCCTGGCGATCCGCACGACTCAAGTATGAAAACAAAATGTTAATAATGGAAAGCTTATAGCATCCCTTACTCACCTTTGCAAGGTTTGGACGGGCTGCATACTTAGAGAAGTTTAGTCTTGCTAAGTTGATAAATGGACCATCTGGTGTAGACAACATTGAAGCCTATTAATTTAAAATAAAAAGAGATTATATAGATAATCCATAAGGCAAAACCACATAATAAAATTAATTTAAAAAAAAAAAATTACCACTCTTATTTAATTTATTTTTTACTATACTTGGTAATTTTGCTTAAGTTGTTCTGTTATATTTGAAATTCATAATTTTTTTTAGTACATGATATTTTCATACCATTTTATCTTTTTATACCATGAACAAAATCATTTTCTTAAGGCTGTATTACCAATAATAATCAAATGAACTAAAACTTAGTTATAACGATGACCTAAATTTTAACAGTTTTTGAGATAATATAGTGTTTAGTATTTTTTGCTCTCTTTTGTTATTACTATGCACTTTTGTATTTTATTGTATGCGATTGTTGCTTAAAATGAGTTTCCGCAAGGACAAAATAAGTCTGAATCTGAATTAAAACAATAATGATTAAATAAGAATAACTATATTGATTACTGACCGTGCCAAGCCTTACAAATCTCCCCGAAGCACTGGTAACAGGTCTGGCAGTATGTGCTGTCCTCGGTGTTCGGATCGCTTGCTCCATTGTTCCAGGCCGTCCGGATTGTGTACCAGGCCGCACAAAGCCACTTAATGGCCGACCAGACTGGGACATTGGGCGTATTCCAGCACTAGGGCCGCCCTGTCCTGTTCCTGGCTTTTTCAATGATGTCCCAGGTCCTATGTGTTACAGAATCAGTGTGCATTAACAAGATTTAGTACAGTAAGAATGCATCTATGATTAATTGGATTAAGCACATTCTTAAGAAAAACATTTTAATGAAACACATGAATAATACTGTAAGTAGATGGAAAAGAACAGGGTTTTATGTTTCTGGTGTACTGCCCAATTCACCTCCCAGGATTTCATTGGAAATATTTTTTTTTTTAAATTTTGAGGGTTATCCTTTCCTTGTGTCTGTGTATATTAAAGCAAATGTATCCAATCCAATCTAAGGTCCTGGAGTACAATTCTGGCAAAAGAGTTTGATTGCCTTTTATAATTATCTGAAAAGGGCCAAACATGGACTGCCATGGATAATTTTATGCTAGTGCAGGACCTCTCTATCAACTAGAGGCCATGCTCAAACTAGGCCTAAGTACTAAAAAGGACCAAGACCGTTGTGGACTTACGGGCAACTTGTGCAATGGTGTTGTCATCCATGATCATCTCCGCAATTCCTTCTTCATCAACATCCACTTCATCTACATACACCTGTGCAGTTAATGCTCTTGTCTTCAGTGACCAAGATGCCTTCGTAAATAATAATAAATGTGCACAATAATTATGCATATCAATTATCAGAAGAAAGATAGGGTAGGATGTTTAGAATTGATATCGATCGATGAATAAACAAAGTCGCTTATAGCTAGGACTAGGCTAGCCTACATCGGTTTATCTTTGCTAGCTAGACACTAGTAGCCTAGTCATACAATTGAACCTAAGCTACTAGGCCTCGAAGAACCACCACCATCACACCGGCAGGCAGATGATTGACCAGGACTGGCTAGTCTAGGCCCCCGCTAGGCATAGGAAGCCTAAACTAGCTGAATAATTTGCATTGAATATTACTTTACCTGATCATACGGATTCTTTTCAAGAAGCTGTGAACATATCTTAACACAGTCTTCATATTTACGCCTTCTATAAAGACTCATAGCAAGGTAAAGTGGGTCCATTGTTGTTGCAAAATGTTGTCGCACAAATATTTTTCTCGGTGATATGGCGTCTCGTAACCCAGAAACTGACCGACTGATAATTGTAGAGGTCGCACTACAAGTTTATATCATTCCGTTGTAAAACATAGGCTACCGGAACAGACTATACTTAGTTTAAATATTTTTAGTTTTCAGTACTGTAATTTCACTTTTTTCATATTCATTTGTAAATATAGTAATCATTCTATCATGTAAATCTACTCGAAATTCAGTAATGTTTTAACTGCAATATAGTTTTTTTAGATTTAATATAATACAGTAAATGTTTTGATAAAAATGTGTCCCCACTAGGATTTGAACCCAAGTACAAAGGTCTGTTTCAAGGCATTACAATCGTTACTATCCCATACTCCATTAATAAAGCTACTATCATGTGCTCTTACTGGTTTTATTATACAGTATTATCAAATTTGCTGGCATTCTTACAGCCCTCTGCTTATACCTACAATGCTTTAAAAAAATGTATATTAATAGCGTTTCTTAGTATAAAAGTTGTTAGTATTCAATTGAACAACATACTTTTCCTCTCAAGTTATAACAGATCTATAAATATAATGTTCTGTATACTAATGAACTATTTGGTAATCAATTTATGGATTTTAATAGTAAAATAGTAAATTGTTGCAAGTCGAATTGTGTAGTGTCTCATTGTAACATATTTGATCCTGTTAAATATATTTTCAGACCACCACAGAATGTCATTAAAGAAAATTCTGATACTGTACAGTATATAGTTTTTCTGTTATGGAATATTGTGGTTTTTATGAGTGAAACACTGGTACCACTCGGCAACTATTACACACACCAGAGTTGTTATCACAACAACTCCCAGCACACACTCACACTGAACCCAGGACAAAATAAACAGAATTGACGAGAGAATATTTTGACATATTGAGCCAGCCAACAGCTAGTCAACTGCTCAAGTTTACTTCAGAAATGTCTGTACAATTTTTTTGGGTACGGATACGAAGTTTAATTTTCCAGATCATGCAACCACATGCTTTTACAGATAGAACCATACACTTAAACTCTGTCCAGATTATCCAACGTTGTATGCCCATATATAGTCATGTCGTGCCTATATATGGTCATGATGTGATGTCACCATGACCATATTAAGGCATGACTGTCTAGACAGGACTTCAGTTGAAAAAACAAGAAAATATCTCAATCTCGTTGAAAATCTCAAAAACAAATCAACTGTCTTGAGAGCAACATGCGTAAAAATTCTAATCCCCGTAACTTAAGAGCTTACGGCAACTGAGCGCAACATATTACTAACAGAGTAAAGATAAGGGCCCCCATTGTTCCATGTAATTTGATGGGAAATGATTATGTTAAGTATCCAATGATTACAAACTAGAAATATAAGTGTACGATCAGTTATTGACAAATGAATGATGAAACATAAGCCCTCCACAGACTATCAAATTTTATTTGACAAAAACATGTGACATGCCTAAATATGGTCATGATAACATCTTATATAGGCACATCATGACTAAATATGGGCATACAAGTTTTTAACAAGGGCTTAACACATCTCATTAAAAACTGTTGTATGCCCTTATATAGTCGTGATGTGCCTATATATGGTCATGAAGTGATGTCATCATGACCATATCAAGGCATGTCATATGGTTTTGTAAAACATAAAATGACAGCCTGGACAATTAAGGATGTAGCACTTCGATGATTCAGAGGTGTATTGCAAATGACATAAAACTGACTATTGAAAAGTTAAAATTGAAAAAAATAATAAAACAAGTAACGAGTATGAAATTGTAAAATACATATTCTTTTGTCTTTCTTTGTTCAACAAAAGATAGATTATTAAAAATATTTCAAACTTACAGTAATAGTAGACAAAATATTGTTACCAAATATCTTTAAAAATTAAAAGCCATAAACTAATAAATTAAAATATGTTAATTTATTACATTTTTTAGTATTAGCATGAGCACAGATAAAACCAACAAAATGGAGATACTCGAACACTGATGATCTCTCACCCTTTCAAAATTTGTTCCTCAGATAATCCCGCCCCGAACAAATTACAGTTTTGATTCGACAGGAAAAAGTTTGTTTTGCTTACACTATGTCAAGACTCCCACAATGCTCTATGGTGAAAATCTCACAAATCACTACAAGAATCTCACAAACATTATCATGTCATTCTCATAAAAATCTAAACCTATTAGGCTCGCATTTACTTTGAGTGGACACTAAGTACTCTTTTAAATTCCAAAAAATCCATGGCAAAATGGTTTATCAAAAGTATGCCAATTGCAAATACAATCTATTAACAATAACTAGGTATACTCTGTCTAACATGAAAATGTAAGAAAGCCAGTTTCTGTAAAAAAAATTTAAAAAAATTAAAAACAGGCTTTAACTACTAATCCATTTTCAACCTGGTAAAATATGGACAGCAAAAGGGGCCAAAATATCTTGAATGGATTGGGGAAAATTACAAAGAGGGTAGATATCTGGCTGCTATTAGAATCACTGAAGCTTTAATATCGCTCTTTCCTCATAGCAACCTTTTTTGATTAGCAAGCCACCCTCTACCCCTCCCCTCACAACTTTTACCTCCTTCAAGTTTACAAAATTGGTACAGTGAATGACAAATGTCATAGTAGCATGTATCTCAACCATCTCAATTATCTCAGAATATGTAAACTTCTACCAACATATGATACCATACAGGTCTGCAGATAAGTTTGGTCATTTACCGATTATAAACGAGCCCATACCTCAGCGCCAGAAGACGTAGTTTCTTATGATGTATGTAATTATGTATTTAACCATATGCATTTTTCAATATTTTTTAAAAGCCAATAAGCATCCCGATATTTCAGACGACAAATAATTTGGGATATGAACATTTGTACTGTATTCCTCTATCTCTAGACTTTATCAAAATGTAGTCTTATGTTTTCTAGGTAGTTATTCTGCTAGCCTACTCTAAAAAGTATGTGATAAAAAACATTTATTTACTAATACTGAATCTTAAATCTGGATAAATACAGTCATACAACAAAGTGACGGGGCAGTGCAAAAGACTGATCAGAAGCCTAAAAAATTCTGCCAATATCTAGGAAAAAAATTTCCGGTTTTACTGGAAAAGGTACAGATTATTAAAAGAAAATTTGCAAATGCATTAAAAAATAAACAATACTTTGGCCAAAGCAATTTACAAACAGGAGAACAAGTTCCTACAATGTACTCTAAAACACCAAATACAAAACAACATTTATCGCTTTTACAATATACAGTTTAGCTAGGTGTTGTCATTTGACATTACATATACTTTGTCTACAGTCTAACGGTCTACAGACTTCTGGGAAGTCAGATGAGACATTGCTTTGGTGTGACAACAACACTAACAATCAAGTTTTCAATTACTCATGAAAGCTAACATTTAATAACCTTTGACATCATTCTCTGATTTATTCAAATTGTAATCTAATGAGTATTATCTTTGATAAATACTTCAATTTACAAGTTATGGTTCTACACAATGAAAGATGCTTTTATCTATGTTGTTGAATGATAATCACATTAAAGATTTTAGGTCCCTATATTAAATGCAAGGTGGTCAGTTAAGAGACCATTTGCCCAATCAACATACAGGATACTGAAGTTCACTGCACACTCTCATTAAATATTCATTGTTCCCAGATTGCTAATAGATTGAGTCACACCTGTATGCAAATCAGCACAATGACAAGCAAGCATCAGGTTATTTTCTAACTTTACATTTACACATTGTATATTGCTACTTTCATATTTTAAAAAAATGTACAAGTTGTTAACACATAATTCAGTTATCAATTTTTGCAACGAATAATATTTCATATTTAATTCATTACATTTGGTAATAGAATTTAAACCTCCCTTTGTGTCTTAAAAATGTTTCAGTGGTATTGAGAAAAGGTTGAACAATTTTAACAGTGTAAAGGCACATCTAGCTAAATGTATAAGAAATAAAAATAATAAAATCACGATTATTATTATTACTATCAAAGCTAATTGCATGATGGATAGCTATGGATGTTTTTTTTCAATAAGATTAAATGGATGAATGCGGGCTTAAATTAAAATATGTCAGACAATGAGACATTCAGTAGAATCTTTACCTGTGACAACATTGGGATAGCATTGATATAGCAGCCAGAGAGCTATTTTATAGTAGCAGTCCATTTACTTTACATCTTACATTTTCGTATGTGAACAAGAAAACTTGTAAAATGCTGTACAAACACATAAATATCTATTCAATTCAACCAATGCAAAATCTTGTCCTGTACTTCAATTAAACGTCAACCGTATCATCATTAATACAGTTTTAAAATATGAATATTTCCATCTTTTATCATCCCATAAAATATTCATAAAATCGATCAGCCAATCAATCAATTAATCAATAAACACATTAAATTGATCAATAGATTAATAAACAAATAAATGCATGTGATTCTATTAAATAATTAACATTTCAATGTAACTATGTAAGTCTCAATGTAACCTTGTAGGTTTGATTGTATCTACGCAAGTTTTAAACTACATAAATTTCAAAGTAACTACGTTTATTTCAATGCAACTACGTAAGTTTCAATTTGACTACACAAGTTTCAATGTAACTATGTAAGTTTCAATGTTAACTAAGTTTCAATGTAATCAGGTACTGTAAGTTTCAATGTATCCCCTTAAGCTTTAATGTACCAATGTAAGTTTTAATGTAACCATGAGAGTTTCTGGAGTATCTTCATCAGTGTCTACATCAGTTGATGACTGATAGTGAAAAGAGTAATAATGTTCTTGCAGCATGTCAAAAGACTGTTGCATGCTTTACTCTTTGCCGATTTTTCACATGCCACAATGTAACCTTTGCCTCTCCACTATAATCATGTGATGAACTGTATATGACTGTATATGAAAAAATACACAATTTGAACTGTAAAACTTTAGTTAAAAGTAAGGGAAACTTCAGTCCAATTGGGAAAAAAGAAAAGAATTAAAGATCCTTTATTAATCTATACAGAAGAGAAATAATCAGGCAACCATTAGAGAGATGTAATGCCATGCGCTACCCAACATTCTATTCCACTTAGGGTTAAGTCGGCATATTAAGTGACCGCAGCAGAATGGACAGGAGCTATACATCACTGGCTAAGGACATCAGTCAATTGTGATGATGCAGAAAATCAGCAGATTATCTTCATATTCACCCGATGATCCTGCCAATCACCAGAGGATCCAGGAAATCACATGATGGTCTTGATAATTATCTGGTGGTCCTGACAAATATCTGATGATTCTGATCACCCACAAGAGTTCATTTTTTAATACCCTTTTCTTCTTGGTAAGAAAAACTTGCAAAATGAGGTTTTTCATCATTCAGATGTGATTCAGAATCGGCTGTGAAGACAACAAAATTTTGTTTTGTTAGTATATTTGACAAAAACATGTGACTTGTCTAAATATGGTCATGATGACATCACATCACCACCATATATAGGAACATAATAAATATGGGCATACAACAGTTCATTGTCAAAGAAAATTTGCTAATCTAGAAACAGCCTTAGTTTTTGTTGACAACAAGTAATCTACATTTTTAACAGGGAAATTATTTCAAGTTGGACCAAAATTGAAATAGAAAATTTGACTGGCATTGTTAAAGTTGCAGTTCATTCATGGATATGATTCATGAAAAGATATCATTTTTTTAAAGCATAGCTATTTTCAATTATAGTAAGTTACCTTGATCTGGAGGGGTGAGTTCGACAGGCTCGGCAGTAAATTCCTCATCAAAATAACGTGTATCGGTTGCAGATGTTACTTGAGGTTTGAATGGCGGTTCAATCTATACAGAAAAAAAGGAAATATAACACCGATTATATGAAGTGTCACACTGAAAAAATAAAATAAATAATAATAAATATACCACATATAGCTTCAAACAGTATGATGTTGATAAAAGATTTTTCAACTCCAGTATAAAAATTTTAAAAAATTGCACATTCATTAAACGTAAATTGGATCATACTGACCTTTCTGTCATATAAATCTTGCCAGTTTATGCTATCAAAGAAATTATGGTTCATAATTTCTTTTGCATCGGTGGGCCCACAACCTAGCCTACACAACACAAAGAAATTGTGAAATACAAGATTAATACAATAAAACAAATGAACCGAGTTGTTGTTACAATAAATCAATCTTTGTATCAGGTCTTAAAATTCTAATTTGTTTTTAGTGTAGGATGTCTGAAAATAGAAGTGTGCACATGTGGTGAGTGATCAGATAAAATGCTGTTTTAATGACCGACACTGACCAAAAAAAAAAAAAAATGTAAAACCATACTGAGAGCAGCTTAGCTCAGTTGGCTTTGTGTGTGCTGAATCGTGGAGATCTCTCGGTCTCTGGTGCAATTCCATTGCTGCTCTCCTTGTATATCAACTAGAGGGCTGAAATGCAAGCTACGATAGTGCATCATCTTTTGGATGACACCGTTAAGTCATTGGTGCTGTGTGCATATTAAAGAACGCAGAGTAGGGGATTGTCTGCCGTTGTACTGCCCAATAACCACCAGAAGGACCCCACTGGAAATAAGTCTTTTTCAGATTTTTGAAAGTTTTCTTTGGTGTTTACACCAAATAAATCCATTCCATCCATTGTACTGAAGTAGGCTAATTAAGAATCTTAATTATTGTAAACCCCAACCTCTTTTTTTAAAGTATTAATCCTCTTTATCTTTTAAGTATTCGGTAGTTTTTGTAGTCAATTTTTGTTAGTTAAAAGGACAAATGCTACCTTACTTCTTTGTAGCTTTGTCATAATTTTAATGTAAATCAAGTTTGTTTTAAGTTTGTCAGATCTTTTTTTTTTTTTTTTTTTTTTGTACTTGATAGTTTATGGTGCTGTTATTATACAATTGACATTGTCAATGTGCATTTTTGTTTTTAATTTAGTTTAATAAGTTTTATACAATTGTATTTATGCACCTCATGACCTTTTGTATACACACCCAGTGGGTGAAAGAGCCTCGTGAATAAATAAAGATTATTATTATTATTATTATTCATCCATAATGAAAAAAAATTTCAATACTGAATAAGTATTTAGTGCAATCAGGCATAGGTTCTATGTAAGTAAAACTGTAAGTGGTGCTTAAAAATAGTTCAATGAATAATGTTATATGTTATTCATACATTTTGTATGTATTTAATTTTATCCACAGAATGAAAAAAATAAACAACAGACATATATACACACAAGATGCTCTACATAAGTCTCATTATGCCAATAGCAAATTTAAATTAATCAATCAATAACTCAATAAATGTATCAATCAACAATTCAGTCAGTCATCAATCATTTAAATGTTATGTATTTGGTCTTTTGTTATTTTGGACATCTCTGGATCCACCCCTGGTAAGTAGAAAGCATTGTGTGAAAATGAATATATTTATCAAATTTACCTTAATTTTGGGTCTTTCCTCAACATTCCATATAACAAGCTCTTTGACTCATCAGACAGCCGGCTTGGAAATTTTACATCAACGGAGAGGATCATCTCAAAAAGTATTTCATGATCACGATTATAAAATGGCAACCGTCCGCACATCATTTCATACATGACTACACCGGTGCCCCACCAATCCACAGCACGACCATAATCATTGTCTTCCAAAACCTGTATAGGAGAACAAGCATGAAGGAGGTTAAGGTTCAAGGTTCATGGAGAAAAAGGCACCAGAAGATAAAACTGAAAAGATTCATACCTTGGGAAATATCATTAAAACTCTACAGTAAACTTTTCTGATTGCAACATGAAGGGTCTCGGGTCTCATATTTGGTCAGGGGCATAATTAGGGTTTTTGGGTTTTTGGGGCTAGTGCAAGAAAGGAAAAGGTGCTCCTTTCAGTTTGGAGGGTCCTAATTCTGAGCTAGTGGACACATATTTACTCTGTATACTATAATTTATATTTATTGACTTGAGTACAACTCTGCAAAAACTCTCATCTGGAAGCCCTATATTTTCCAGGCTAAAACTGGCAACCACACACCACCCCTACCACCTTTCAGGTTTAGGAGGCACAGGTCATGTTCACCCCAGCAATGTGCCCCGTTCTGCACCCCTGTAATTCCGCCTCCGCATTTGATTATGAATATTAATGGTGTCTGCTTTGATTATGAGTATACTTTAAAGTCATGACCTAAAAGTATTATGCAAATTAGACACAATCCAACATAAGCCTCCCTTCAATCAACAATTGAAGGGGATGAATCAAAGAATAAAGGGAAAATTTTCAGATATGAATGATATATGCAGACTGATAAATAATCAGACAAAAAATAATTAGCAGCTTTCTTCTAATCCTACATGTTGTGATCCTAATGAATTTTGCAAATTTCAAGTTTAAAGTTCAAAATGACTCAATCAACCATTCAATCAATCAGTTTTATCACTGAATGTTATATGTCAATATACATCAATCAATCTCAATACTTTTTCAAACTATAAATGATGCTATATCACGACCAATCACAGGCTATAAAATCTAGGATGTTGACATTTTCAACAGGATGAAATTAATAATTGCAGACATATGTGATATTTGCAGTTGGTCCAAATTGAAATCAACATATTTAATATAATACTAGTATGAATTCAAAAAAAAAAAAGACTGGTCAAATAAATGTCTTCATAAAATTATAATCTCCTACAGAAAAACAAAATCAATTTTTTCATGCACAAAAAAAAAATCTGGTATGACAAACGTGATATCCTAGGAACTTGTGGAGAAATGAGATCCTGTGGTGAATTAAGTGCTTGTTTTGCTGTGAAATGGTAAATCAAGCTTGACACAGTGATATATATCTTAGTGATGAGTGCAGCCTAGCAGTCCCAGTGGACGTGCACACACGCAGTTTCTAGATTACTGATATTATCTTTAACCACTTGGCTTGCCTAGCTGGATTTACTACAGGTATTTAAACATCACTTCTATCTTTATGTTCATGTTATTTACCTGAATGCAGGTAAATAAGTGAATTCGAGGACATGACGAGCTTAGTGTCAAGCTGCATGTATGTACTGTTCATGGATGACGAGCAAAACGTTCATAAATATACTTTTACTTGGTTTTAATATTAATTCCTTGTCGAGACTATCCAATTTTATGTGACAAAAACATGAGGCATGCCTATATATAGTCATGATAACATTGCATAATGACCATATTTAGGCACATTGTGACTATATATGGGCATACAACAGTTTTTTGTCCAATTAAATTAGATATTCTTGACAGGGCTTTAAGAATACTACAAGCATTTTACAGTCTATGTTGTGCTAAAAATATATACCTGTAATTAAGTATTTGGATTAATTACTCTTTATACCTTTTTATAATTCAAAATTTTGAGGTGTGGCAGTGTTCAGTCATAGGTAAATATAAATTTGTGTGTTTGTGGGGCATACACATACTGTATAACTGGCCAACCTATATATAACACATTCTCTGATTTGTCAGTTGTGACAGATTGATTGACATCAGAAGCCAGTATGAGATAAACTTTTGCTATGTATTACTCTGTATTACAAAAATACATAAACATCATTCAATGACTTGTGTACACTACTAAAAATAACTTTGACATGTTCAACAAAATTAGTAACTAAAGATCTGAACAAATAAATTTAGTACACATATAAAAAAAAGAGATTAAATTTAGACAAAATAATCTTACGAATAATTTAGGCATCATCAACAATTATCATCTTTGATGATATTTTGTAATATCTAGAGCTTAAAGTCCCTGTAGCCTGCTGATGTTTTTCAAAATAATATTTACAAGGGAGCATTTTGAGACAAACATTTAAATTTGATTTGCTATAAAAAATGAGCATGGCAAACCAATGTATATTTCAGTGTTTATTTATTATTTATTTACTTAGGCACACAGCGCATGCACCAAGGATTGCCAATAGCAAATATATCACTGTCCTACTTGTAGGTAACAATCCCTTTCACAAGACAAACATACACACACGATGCTTTACACAAACTGATCTCAATATGAGGCTTAGTTGGTGGAGTTGTTTTGGTTATGAGAAAAAATCCTGCAACACTGACAGGAATTGAATCCAGGACCCTTGGATTGGAAGGCAAGCATCTTAACCACCGAGCTATTCAACTCCACTACTTCACAATTGAAAGATGCAAACACAAAGTTGAGTACGTACCTCTGGTGCTAAGTATTCTGGTGTTCCACAAAAGGTCCGCGTTGTGTCTCCATACGAAATTGCTTCTTTACAAAGTCCAAAATCTGTGATTTTTATATGCCCATCTTTGTCTAACATCAAATTTTCAAGCTAAATGTTCATAAAATAAAAGCATATTTGACTTTATTTAAACATCATAAAAATTTATGGTTTAATTAATTAATTGATTAATTAATCAAAGAATTAAAATTATTTAGATATTTATTATAAGAATATATTTCTTTTACAGGCATCTAAACACTAGAGGTGCAACAAGTTCTTATAAGCATATTGGCTGTCTACTGAAAAACAAAACATTAACATACAAAAGTAGTTGAACATTCTGAGCATTGTTTATACAAAATATATTACAACAATAATAAATTTAAAAACAATTTAATTATTTAAATATTAACACTGAAGAATCTATTCACCTTGCTGTTGGTAATGTTGAGATTTATTACAAAATAAATAAGAAATTGCATTATTTATTAGCACCATCTATATTTTTTATTAGTAACCAAAAAAACTTACCTTAAGATCCCTATATATAACATTACATTCATGAAGGTAAGCTAATGCGGAGATGATCTCTGCACCGTAAAACCGTGTTCGACTTTCGTCAAACACTCGCATCCTCGACAAGTGAAAAAATAGCTCGCCACCATTCACGTACTCCATCACAAAACACAACCTGTCCGGTGTCTGGAATGAATACTTTAAAGACTGCAAGAAAAGAGGAAAAATATATTAAATAAGATATTGTTTCACATTACTCTGTTAAATTTTATATTTTCCATTTAAAATAAATAGTTTGTAAAAAAAATAAGTCGTGAAGGTTTGCAAGGCGAGTTGATTATAAATATTTATATATGCCTTTGGTACACCGTAACACCATGCGGCGTATGCTAGAAATCTCAATTGATGTTATTTGGTTCCGAGAAGAACCGTCTGGATTGAAATTACAATCCAAATGGTTGTTCTGAGAACTAAATAACATCAATTGAGATTTCTAGCATATGTCGCATGGTGTACCAAAAAAAAAACAACTATTTACTTCATTATTAACATATGAGGCTTGTCATCCCAAAACCAGTGTACTGTCACTAAATGAGGCATGTCGTGGCGAAATGGTTAAGTTGTCAGCACAGGCCAGTATTGAGTAAATGAGCTTTAAAATATGGGAGCTCAAAAAATAGCCTAAAAATCCAAATTTGTTTTGTTTTGTAGATCAACAGTTACTGTTGATCTACAGTGAAAAACCAGTTTAATGTCTTATTAATCATGTCCCAAAGTATTAGTTCTGGAAATGGTCAACAGATTGTTTATCTAATGTTATTTTGATAGATTATTCTATTAGACAATGTATGCACAAAGAACTTTGAAAGGCAATTACTCAAAATCATGTTTATCTAGCCTCTAAGAGTACTGTATTTTCACTTTCCAATAACTGTGGCTTGAAATATCCAATTTCAATGAATGACCCCTCATTTTAAAGATCACATAATCAGGTATCTGAAAATACCAATAACTTGAATTTCAATTTTTGCTACAACTTAACCATTTTGCCACAACATGCCTCAAATGTTAAACTGAGTAACTAGCATAAGAATGTGTCCAGTATCGTATACTTTAGTACAGAGAAGCTGTAATACTTTTACTCATAACTTTAACAATAGCAAGTCGATACCAGTAAATGGCCCATCATTTTAAAGCTTACAAAGTGGAGAATAAGATGTTAAATTTTCATTTTTTGGTCACTGATTCTGATTTTGCGATGGCAAGCCTCATTTTTCTTTCCCTTATAAATAAATTTGTTATTAGTTATATAGGACTTGATTTTTAAATTTAATATTTTTATATTTTATTTTGCTTTTAATCTGTATAATTCTCTAACTTTAATGTTATTATTTCTCAGATTGCAAAAAAATTATACATATACAATATCATACTCAAAACACAAACATAGAATTTGCTTTTTAGCTCTAAGTCAAGTAAATAAATAAGACTAACGGAAATAATATATGTAACTCTATATCATTCTCATCTAACTGCATGCGGCTCGCCACTTAGAGAATGGATTAAGTGAGGCTCTATAGATTACTTATCATTATGAGGTTTACAAAGTGGAGTTGTTTTAATCAATTTTGCTCAAAACAAAAACACAAGGGAAGCAAGCGAAATAAACAAAGATGGCTGAAACAAAACTCCATTCATTTGCACAATAATAATAATGTTACATTTCTATAGTGCATAATGCAAAAAGCTTCTATGTGCTTCTCATAGAACAAAAAGAGTGTATTTAAAAAATGAAGTAGAACATAAAACTGGCTTAACAAAAATAACACAAGAACAAAAATATTTATTTTTTGAAGTCATGAGAATAATACTGGAGTTTGCAGAATATGAAACTAGGATATGAACCAAGAATCTGGATTGGGAGGAAAGGCACTTAACCACTACTGTCATAATCACATAGGATGAAATTATATGAGCATTTTAGTTACACAAGGAGAATCATATGTAAAGTATTAATCACAATAAAATAATAACAAGCATTTAAAATACATCAACATTCTAGATAAAACCTATTCTGAGAACACAGAACATGATTAAGAAATAAAATTAATGATGACGAACGGTAAAAATATCAAGCATAACAAAGACACATAAAAACATCATTCAGCTACAAATTATAAAAAGTGTTTAGAGTTTGTTTAAAAGATGTAATTCCTGGCACTAATTTCAGATATAAATTATTTAACAATCCTTTACCACACTGGCACTAGCATATTATTATTTAAATCAATCAAAATACATCTAATCATGTATCAGATAAATAAATTTAAAAAATCAATCATTCATGTGTTACCTTAACAATTTATTTCAACAACAATTTCATTACCTTATTGTAATCTTAAATAACAAAAATAATAATTAATTTAAACACTAAATTTCATTAACTTATTAAAATCTTTAGATAACAAAAATTATAGCCACAGATAGCAAAATGGCTGCCCTATTGTTAGCCATATCTTGTGATAAACAGCCGATGTCGTTGACTCACCGTAAGGAACGGATGCCGAGTTGTTTTTAACACTCGGTTTTCTGTTAGTGTATGTGCAACTTCATCCTGTCAAAAAAATCAAGAGAATTTAATAAGATAATAAATAAAGAAAACATTTACAAACTGATTTAATTATACCACATTTGCAACTTCACCTTTATAAGGAATAACAACAATTTTAGTAATAAATTAAACAAATTCATAAATTATACCAATTGTGTAAATGGGAAATAATATGTGGAATTTAAATAATAAAATAAAAAACATTTTGTTTGAATAATACATTTATCATTAAATTTATGAAATGAAAAAATTATTCAATAATATGTTAATACTTTTACTAGGATATAATTAAATAATATTAGTAAAAGTAAACAGAATGTTAAATAAAATTATTGAAACAACGTATTGCAATACATAAACAGAAATTATTATACAAGTACATTTACATAATGTTTAAAGGAATATCAGTAGTATTGTTATACTTATAATTATAATGAATGTAGGAAATGTTAATAGTTTTTTTGGCCAGGCTATACAAGAGGTGGTTCTTAAAGCCTATTGTCCTCAAAAGGCAGAAGAAACATTTAGCTAAACATTGTATGCAATCAATTTGAATTTTGTATGCAACTTTGAATTTTGATTGAATTCAAAAATAATTCAAACAAGTTGTAAAAAGAGATTACAGTAATTTCAATTATTTTTTTCATACAAAAATTGTCAGAGAAGTTTCTTAAATCAATAACGTACATGGAGGAATTAAATCCTACACCCTTGGAAATCTAATGAAGGTGCTTTCAAAGAAGGCATTAGTTCTGGAGTTTCGATGTACAAATTTTAAATGATCAGAGTTTTTATTACCTGGTTTTTGTAACAGAGATGACAGATTAATGGAAAATAAGTTGTGAATTACAAACAACTTAAGAAGACCACTATGTTTATGCAGGAAAATATGAACATTTTCTGGTGTTGTCCTATAGTAAACATTCTATATTTTGTTCAAACAATAAACATTGGACTTAACATTTCACTGACTAAAACAATTTTTAAAAAATGTCCAGAAACTTTAAAAAATATCCAAAAAAAAATTCATGTGATAAACTCTACAGCTCTGTCCACAAAAAAACTGTTGTATGCCAATATATAGTCATGATGTGCCTATATATGGTTATGATGTGATGTCATCATGACCATAACCATATTTAGGCATGTCACATGTTTTTGTCAAATAAAATTGGATATTCTGGACAGATAAGATGAATGGCTGTGACCTATCATTGGTGAGCGGAAATGTTATGAGGTTATTAAGTAAATTCAATACAGGAAGAACGATTCAAGTAACTCTTTCATGTCTACTCCGACATGCATACATCCTAACTCTGTATTCGCACGTATCTTAAAGATTTAATGTCGTCGGTAACATCTAAATAACAAACCCTAAAAATGTAAAAAAAAAAAAAAAATTATGAATGAATTACTCAAAATACCAAACAAGATTAATGAATGAGAGACGAAGATTGAAACAAATTGATTTTAATGATTTGCAGACTTTTTTGCTATAAAAATCATAAGGGGCTATCAGTGGCGTAACCAGGGGGGGGTTTCACGGTGCCTGAGCACCCCACTTTTTGTTCAACCGGGAATAAAACAGAAGTAAATTATTGGAAATAAATGGCAAAGTAAGTTATCGATGTGCTTACTCTGTCCTAGTTTTGTGGCTTGACTAAAGTGGATGTAATATTTCTACTCAGTACTCCCCTTTCAAAATTTTGGATACACCACTGGTTATGCAAAGAGTATAGAAACGGTATTATTTATTTGTCTGTGTAGTTGGCAAGCAAATTCTCATTCTAATGTTCAATCAAAAATTGAACCTTAAATATAAGGAGGAGGACAATCAACTTTTATTAGTTCAAACAGAATGTTTTTTTTTAAGCAACACTAATGGGTTTACTGTATATGTTATTATTTTATAATTTCAACACTACTAATGATTTTGTAAAAGGATGAAATAAATGCCAACCAACAAAAAAATGAATCCGAGATGAATTTACCTATCCGCTAAGCCCCGCCCCTTGTAGATTGTTGCTAAGATCTCAAAAAAACGACGGTGCTAAAACATACGCGAACATGTGTGTTTGTGGAACAACATGTGTGCTTGTTGGACACGCGCATATCCCTGGCGCTGTTTTGATTGGTCAGTTGTTAAGTTCGACTGACACTCCAGAAAAGTCAACAGGGAGCTTTCGATTGTGCGATGACGTGACGCTAGAACGGAATCACTTATGCGTGACCGTCCTACCTGGCGTCCTACGTTCTCTGCATGTTTGGCCAAATTGCGTTCCAGAATCTATTGACGAGGTGACCTTAACGTTCTCGCACGCGCAGATGACTTTAAGTGACGTCATTACGTTCTACGTTCTACGTCCTACCGCCGTCGTGCAATCGAAATCTCCCTATTTATGAGCTTACCTTTGCGACAATTACACCCTTTTTGAGAATCTTTATTGCATAGAACTCCCCTGAAGCCTTTTCTCGCACTAGCAACACCTTCCCAAACGTTCCTTTACCAAGAACTTTCAGAAATTCAAAGTCATGTAATGTCTGCAGGAAAAAAGTATGAGGTTTTTAGAATAAAGTCATTATTGTCAAGTATTATCTGATATAAATAAAATGTATATCTTTCCATAATTCATTTCAACCGTTTCCATAATACATCTCATCTCTTCACACCAATTGAACACATCCTTCCCTCTATTTTTCTCATTCCTTTCATCTGTTTGATTTGATTTATAATACCATACCTGAAACATATCAAACAATTTGAGAATGACATGAATATAAAAATGAATAAAATTATGTGGTATCGGGGATAACCCTCTAAATCCTCAGAAAGGGATTTACATCTGAGAGGTCCCTAATCTTAACTCCTTTCTCTTAATCCCCTTCTAACACTTCATCTATTTGATTTGATTTATATCGATACCATACATGAAACATATAAAAAATTTAAGAATGACACCATGAATATAAAAATTTATAAAATCATGTATCAGGAATAACCCTCTAGAAGAGGATTTATATCCTGAGGGGTCCCTAATCAAAATCCCTTCTCTAACATTTCATCTAAATCCATTCTTTAACATTTCATATATTTGATTTGATATATTTTAATACTATACATGAAACATACAATAAAAAATTTGAGCACAACATGAATATAAAAATAAAATAAAATCATGTTTTATCAGGGATAACCCCCAAGAAGGCAATTTATATCCCGAGGGATTTCTAATCTACATCTTATCTCTAACATTTCCTTTAAAACCCTTCTGACAATTCATCTCATCCTTTCATCTTCACATGAAATACAAATTGAATATCAACACTTAATGTAAATAGCCTAAAACACTTCATGAAATATATGCATATTCAGTATCAAAAAAAGTTCATGTTGATTTAATGGTGAACTCTGTCACTGTCAATGAGCTTTCCAGATATTAACATGAATTACGAGTGTTTCCGTGTCGTATATCCTTTTTTTTTTTTCAACTTTCCTGACGTTCGTAGGTTGTTGTCTTATTTTGTTCTTTGTTTTTGACGTGTTTTGAAATTTACTATTATCATTGTTTATTATTTAACACAAGTTCTGGTTTAACCTTTCAACCGAATGTACTTTCAAGGCTGTGGCCTCTTTCATTGTTAACATGTTAATTGCTATTAGATATACAGTTATTCTAATATTATTATTACTCAATCTAATTATTATTATTTAACTCAAAAAGAAACTAAGCTAAAAAAAAACCTACTGTACACTGTTTACAAATCATTAATTTAGTATTTAGATCAAATCAAAATTTCAAATAAAAAAAATTTTATTTACTATATTATACCATCAGTAATGATAAATAAAAATTCAATTTATCAGTTATCAGAAAAAATGAACACATACTCTATTCAAAAGTTAATCATAATTGTTTACCACATTTTCAACCAATCCTCTTTAGAATTATTATTATCTTTATCAAATGCATTGATATCAAAAAGAAACGATGTACAAAAAAAGTTTAAAATGTGTTACAGGCCCTACTTCCAACTCCCTAACTATCGATAAAACTCACCACTTTTCGTGTGGTAGTTGATATTATCGATGATCGATCGCCCTCTTCCTTTGACTTCACTGAACCCGTACCAGAATCGGATGGTTTCTGTGGTTGTGTGTTACTTTGTGATGTTTCAACGGAAATCGCCTCTTGACGATGTAAGGAGTCAGCTACATTCTGAATTGCCTGTACCCACGCCTCTCTAAAAGAAAGAAACAAATTCACTTTTAAAAGTGCACACAAATTACCTGTCACAATACCAATTTTTGGCCGACTTTAATTTCTCTATAGAAAAGCCGATGGGGAAAAGATAGCACATCATAAATTTATGTAGGATAGAGCGGGAGCAAAAAAGTGTAATTGCGTTGTGAATTGACGCAAAATGTGAAGATGGAGCAAATTGATTTGTATATAGGCTAATGTCAGAATAACAAAGCAGACAACATGACATTCTGAGGTCATGTATACTTAGCATACCTTGCAGGGATGCCACTTTTAAGTGCTTGTTTCACAGGTTTATATCATCACTTTGACGAGTTAAAAATGGAAACATCGTGAGGATTCATCATACATGGTTGGTTGTTTAGTGTAACCTCATTTATAATCCGGATGTACCAGCTTGATTGTTATACCCATAGTCACAATGTGCCTATATATGGCCATGATGCAATGACATCATGACCATATTTAGGCATATCATATGTTTTTTATCAATTTGATAGTCTGGACAGGGCATGAAATTATGATGTGTGAATTTGGGACTGTACCTTCGAGGCTTGTTGGGGTTCACATGGGTAAAAACTTTGACTGTGAACTTAATCATTACGTTGTTAAGATATAAAATCATTGTAATTATCTTAAGCATATGATGCTAAGATATAATAAGTGATGTAAATTGAATTTGGATTTAGCCTTTTAATTTGCTGGATTGTTTAAAACTCCTGATGAAAATATAAACATCCTGATGAAAATAAAAACATCCTTAGCTAGATGCTATGATTGGCTCATTAACCAACAGTGAAGCTGCATTTAATGATAAAAATATGCTTTTCAATGAAAGAGAAAAATGCAGTAAGCCATTAAGATATTTCTTTCATGAATAAAACAACCACTCCCTAAGTTTCATTAGGTGAGAACTTCAGTGGAGGGGAGGGGAGAACAGGGGAATGGATAAAAATAAAATGCTTCTGCTAAAAACATCTACATGGAGGGGAAAGTACTTTAAAAATAAATTTTTATTATTCAAACATAACTGCAAGTATGTGAGAAAATATATTAATGCTTCAGGCCTTCCCTCATGATTTTATCCCATGGTTGTATAAAGAATGTGATGCAATGTAAAGATTTCCAAAATTTGATTGGCATATGTTAAAAAAAATTAATGTAATTCTATATAGCCCTTCTCAAAACGCTTAAGGTGCGGACAAGCTCGTACAATAACTTGCTGCTCCCCTAGAGCCTCTTTGTGTCTGAGGTACTCGGTAAACCGGTACCAGCTTACTCTCGTCTGTCCACAACAGGGGCTGTATTAACCAGTATACCCGCCTACTTGTCTCGAAACATGTGCTTGGTTCTTTAAAGTGCACATGAGCCAAATTGTGTACACTGGGCATACAGTTTGTAATCCTTATTGGAGAAAAATTGTTACACCACCAGCACCATAGACAAGTGTGCCTTTCATACCAGCGCCGACATTATGAGTATACGTTGAGGTGCCCCTACCTTAACCGCTCGACCAAATTAAGTTATATTAAGGATGTGAAAAATATATAATAATCATGAATGTGATAATACTACATTTAATTTTTTATATAAAAATTGACAGATGAAAGAGTGGACATAAAGGAGGAATGAATAAGAATAGGGAAGATGAAAGAAGAAGTGAAAGGTGAAATAAAGAGGAAGAAGAGTTGGAAGAAGATAAGGAAGGAATTTAAAGATGAAAAGACGAAGAAAAAATAAAGGAACAAGCAAGAATAGAAAGAATGTGGAGTAGTACTTGTAGGAAAATTAGCAAGAAATCTGAAGATATTACTCTTAATTCATATATTTCAAACATTTAACA